TTGACAGCAAAATGCCAGGTCTGATCCTCGATGCCAGCTCCAGGCACCTCCACCCTTCCAGGAGCCGTGTCCAAAGCCCCCCAGCCTGGTGCCCAGTGACCACCTCTGCCAATATTCTCGGCCTCGGATGTGCCTCAGTTTCGCTTGAGCCCTGCGATCTGATGGCTGGTGGGTGGCTGACACCCATGGGGTGATTTGTGGACACCAAAACCATCTTGTTTCCATCCAAGTGAACCAACACTGTCCAGATGTTGCACCGCGGCCACGTTCACCATGGCTGTCACTGCACTCCCTGGCACAGATTTGGCCCAATCCAATTGACATCCCACAGAAAAGCCCTGGGCATGGTCTAGAGGACTGTCCCGAGCAGATGGACAAGGCCACATCTCTTTGGGGAGCTATAGGGTCCTGCAGAGGAGAGAGGCATCGCTTCAAATCCAGCACAGATATCTACAGGGCAGCACTTTCATGTCTCCCTTCCTGCTGGAGTGAAGTTTGAACTGCTGTGGTGTTCTCAGCATCCTGAGGGCTGGGCCATGACTCACTCCCTTCCCATCCCCGCAGCTGGCTGGTCATCCAAGCATGCCCTCACCCTTACTGTGACACTCTCTCAAGCACTAGCAATTTGCAGCTGGGGGAATTACAGCATCAGACATTTGGAGTTGTGGTTTATAGGGATTGTTTTTCACTGTTTTGCTTACTCTCTGAATGCCCACGTGCTGTCAGCCTCTCCCAAGCCCCACGGCAGGGAGTCCTGTGGTCGATGGGGCAGCACCCTGGGGGCTCATCATCTCCAAGCAGGCCAGATATGTACCCACGCTGCTCCTGAACCCTCATGCTGTGTGTCAGGTTATTGCACATCCCAGGCTCCTCATGCTGCCGTGGGGCTGCAGGACCAAGGGTCAGCCCTTGCTGATGTTGACCCATGACTGGGATTTGGGCTGCAGAGCTCAGGTAGGAGACACAGGGACTGCAAACTTGCTTTGAGGAGCATGGAAGTAGGTTAAAATGCTACAAGGACATGGATGACACGGAGAGGACACTTGTTTTCTGGCTTGGCTGCTATCCACTGCACTATGCTGAGCTCTTCCCAAGATGCCTTCATTCATCATGCAAGAGGAAGAAACCCCAGTGTCCTAGATATGGTTGCAACATTTCAGGAGCATTGGAGGCAGCATGTTGTGCTAGAAACGGGTCAGGGGATGAGATGAGGCAGACGTGACAGGATGGATAATGCATCCCTCCTCATGCTCCTGAGGGCTAGACCCTAACCTAGACACTTGTGAGGGCATTGTAGCATGAAGCAGCATGGCATGGGTTACACCATCCATCCACCTTCCCATTCACTTCTCCCCAGTGGACATGTCGTGTGGGCTTAATGTCATCACTTGTGTCTCATTTTCCCATGGGCTGAGCACAGGGAGTAACAACAGTGCTCTGTGGTGGCTCTTCAGTCCCCTCAGATGAGAGCTCCAAGACAGGATGGCAGAGGATGGAGGCATGGATGGGTGGGTGGGTGGATGGATGGATGGATGGATGGATGGATGGATGGATGAGCAGACTCTGGGGTTGTGAACTCTCCTCACACCACACCTGCCTCAGCCCCAGGCACCCTAAGTTTCATCATGCTCCTAAACATCTGACAAATAGAAGCTGGGCTGGAGTCCACAGCTGGTGTTGACCATCACAGCTCTGGGGACACGCCTCCCACTGGTATAAATGAGGGCAGCCTCCCAGCTGGAGGAATCACTGGATCACCACTGTGGTCAATGAGGGTTTGCTGATTTACATCATTAATCTCCAGCTGGTGCCTGAGGAAGGAGCCCGCCTCACCATGCTGGTCAGGGGCATTGCCTATCTAAGGAGGAGAAGGCTGAGCCCCCGCTTGTGCTCTCCTGGTTTCTTTACCTTCTAGCCCCAAGCCAGCTCCTCCAAAATCAGGTGAGTGCATGAGCATCCTGTCTGTCCAGAGATGATGTGGCTTCTCCTTCCAACTAGATAAGGCTTCCCTCAGCTTTGCCTTGCTACTGCTCCAAATTTTTAAGAGTCCTGACCACCCTGTCCTTGTTCTTAGTGGTCCATGGGATGCAAGTTGTCTGGATGTTAGCAGGCTGGTGTTTTTATTAGATGTATAATCCAGGTAACCTTTCTCAGGCTCATTGGGGTGAATCCTCCTCTTCCTTGGACTTCCACCCACCCTGGGCAGTGAACCTGAGTGATCTCACAGGGCGTAAATCAAATGCGGAGGAACTGGCCCTTTGGCTCTAATTAGTGTTGCATGATTGGCGGGGGAAGAAATCCATTTTCATAAACAGAAAGGATTTATGCTTCTCCTTCTTGCCTTTATTTTTTTTGCCCATCCTGAGTCCCAAAGCACTTTGCTTGGGGCTAGCAGGGAGCCAATTTATGAATGGTTTAGATTGAGCAATGCATTATTAATAACAGCCAATCAAGCAAGCAGCATATTATATATCATTTCAGGAGATTCGCTTAATTCAGTGAAGTTATTTATTGCTCTAAAATAACCAGAGAGACTCCAATTCTTCCTTATATATCTGGCTTGGAGGGGGATTGTCATGTGGTGGCTGTGGGTGGAAGGGAGGCCCAAGCAGGGCTGTACCAGCCTGTGAGTGTGTAGAAGCTGCCTGTTGGTGGTAGAAGCTGGTGGGACCTCTGGGGAGCCCACACCTCACAGGGGTACCCCAGCTGCAGCCCTTTCCTCCAGGGCTGGGGCTTGTTGGGTACCATTCTGCTCACCCTGCAGTGACAAACCCTTTTCTAGCCGGATGAATGAGCTTTATGGCAGCTCAGGGCAAAGAAACAGCTAATCTGGCTCCCGCAGCCCATTGACTTCGCTATTGTTTTACAAGACTTTGATGAGGCTGGTGACAGCAGACAGATGGGCTCTGCTCTCCTCCGGCTGCACCCCTTGTAGAGGCTGCTCCCGGTGCACAGACCTTGTATCAGACACTGGAGAATCCCCAGGGTGAGGTGGCATTGTCTGAGTTTGGGGACGAGCCCTTAGAGCCACCACGGTGCAGTCATGGGGACTCCTTTGGGATTGCTCCCTATAAACTGCTGCTTGGTGCTGGATCTGTCCTGATTCTTCCCTCACCCAGGGAAGGCAGCAGGCAGGACAGGCAGGGGGAAGGCAGCCCTCTTGCCTACCGCTGCCTCGCTGCCCAAGACCCAGCTCTGACAAGTTTACCACTGTGTCTGGGCCACTGTTTGTTCCTGGGGGGCTCCCAGAAGATGCGGGGCACATTTTCTACACATACACACAGTTTTCCAAGCCTGGCAGCTCCCACCGCACCCTCTCGGCGAGGAGACCCTCACCACATCCCTTTCCTGCCCATCTTCACCCACTTTGAGCCACCCAGGGGATCTGTTCGTTCCCCTCCCCGTGGCCAATAGAGCAGACCAGACGCCCCGGTGATGGTCGCAATACCTCCCAGGTACAGGAGGGACCACCAGCGGGCTCCAAGGATGCGTGTGCGTGCGAGACGCGTGGGTGTGCGCGTGCACAGAGCGGGTGTGCGCGGGCGTGCCCGAGCACGGGAGCCAGCCCTTGCACGCCCGGCCCAGTGCGG